TTACTCCATCTTTGAAATCATTCATTTTAAAACCAACTCATTTTATTCACATTTATGATTCATAAATTCTGCGGTCGATATATCACTACTATTTTTTTTTAAATATAAGTATGTAAATGTATTCTATAAATGATGGTATAACTATTACTCACCATACTTATTACAGAACTAATACGGTTATCAATTGTCTCATCAAGAAGTCAGGCGTCATTAGTTTCAATATTTTAGGAAACATGGTTTGAACTTTATCAATGCAACATTCACCTTATTTCTTTCGACTTGAAAAACGATTGCCATAAGTGAACAGTTAAAAAGGACCTTCAATTTCAAGTCCGATATTGATCATCTTTATGGTAAAATATTTCAAGAGCAATTTTGATTCTATGCCAGGCAGGAATAATAATGTTGAATTTGTATTCGGTTTGGCAGAATACGTAATTGCATAATTCGTAAAAATTATATTTTTGAATAGGATAATTATTATTATCCAGAAATGTTCTTAAGAAACCTTACTTTGAAGTGTATATGTCGCAGGCTTAATGTGAAATCAGTCTTATTATAATACGCCTAGGCTTTTTCAATACGACTAGGCGTATTGCAATATCACCCAAATGATTAGGAATCACACAATTTGACTGATAATTTCAGACTTATTATAATACGCCTGTTCACATGAGGTTTGTTCAAGAGGTGTCAAAAAAACAGCTGGGGCCAATGAAATCGTAGTAACACCGGATGAAAATTGTTTGAAACAAACCTCAAGTGACTTCAATCAATTTGTTCAGACCAAAAGAATACTTCTTTTAGTATCACGAATGGTGTTTATGAAATTGGTACCATACATAGCTTGTTAAATCGATGGTTTTCAAGGGATGAAATCGCTGACTGCCAAAGTAATGAACTAATTAATACTCCACAAGAAAAAACAATTTTCTTAAGAGGAGCTCTAAGAAAGTTTTCAAAATTCGAAGGGCAGGGATTTAAAAAGTGCAAGCCAAGCAAAGCACAGCGTCACAAAAATAAATGTTCATGTTTTAAAGGTCATATGAAATGTGCTAGCGACACTGTCATAAAAGCGGATCATGCTGTTATAAATAATCCCTCGAATAATCCAATAATCTATAATTCGTATTTTATATAGTTTAAACTCTTTAAAACTTATGTTAAAGTACTGGGTGTTCACAGATAAGTACATATGTTGTGCTTTGCGCTGAAGGCTAGCTTTCCTATTATTTATGCTACAGAAACGAAATTTGAAGAAGAAATAGGAAAGTTAGCATTCAGCACAATATATCGGCCAAAAGGCACATCGAAAGTTTTATTCAATACAATTCGCCTGGGTGTGCCATCAGTCGTATTATAATACGACGGATTTCATCTAGTCGGATTCTAACGCGGGTTCATTTTGAGAATAAGACTAACATTCAGCAGGCGTATTATAATGCGACTGAAATAACTCGTCTAATTGTGAAATTCTTAAGTATTTGGGTAGTATTACAATATGTCTAGTCGTATTGAAAAAGCCTAGGCGTATTTTAATAAGACTGATTTTACATTAAGCCTGCGACATATTAGTATCATTATATTAGGCAATCCAAACCACGTGCCATTCAAGATGGCGTGGCGGCCACACATGGACCAAAAAACATAAAAAAATATCTAGCTTCTGCCCAACTTAAAAGTTTACGTACCTAGTAAATAAATATTTTATTGAATAATCAAAATCAAAGCTGCAAACAAAACTCGAAGCATAATAATTAAAATATGCATGAAAACCCATATTCAAAACAAACTTGCTGGCCGCCACGCCATATTGAATTTTTCGTTTTGACAGATTGATTGGATTGCCTATTTAGTAACTTTTTTGAACAATTATTATTATATTGAATCATATTTTCATGGTGTTATTATTCCTATCATGTTTGGACATATGTATGTATGTAAATAGGCAGTGAGATCTGCATAAAGCTGAGAATAATTACACCTATTAATAACTGGCTCATTATCAACTAAATTTGTTCGAAACAATTAAAATAACAATTATTTGTTGTAAATGTATCCCATAAATGTGTTGTTACGACCTCTGACGTCATTTGGTTAAAAGCTTGTGATTACGTTTAGCTTCAGATTGATTTGTTGTGTTCATGGATACTTCATAAAAGTGATTAGGGAGTTATTGCAATAATAATTTTTTGGGACAAAATAGGCTCAAACAGAGGTTGTCACTGGTGACACTTTTTTCTTCAGCTTTGGGACCCAACTCGGGACCCAAGCTCTTCAAAACTGTTGGATGATGTTGTCGAACCGTAGATGAATTAATAACAAATTAAATAATAAATTATTAATATTCAATTTGTATGTCGTAAGCTTGATGAGCTACTGCAAATGTTTTTGGAAAGCAAGAAATTTCCAGCTTTTTCATTAATCTCGGTTGGGTAAAACCGAATGAATGTTGCAGCCTCGGTTGCAGCGTAGCTGGTTTCATCATTGCTCCAAAATATTGCCCCTAGTTGGGTTTTAATAAAGACTATAATTACATTTTGCAAGCCTGTCTATGGAAGGTACCTACCTATTACTTTGAGGAGAGAACAGGAACAATAACAACTTGTTCGATTGCTGTAACCTCAAAACGTTAATTGATGAACTAACTTGGATATCAAAATTTTCAACTCTAATTGACTAAATACGTTTGTGTAAATGTTAACTGTCATATTATCTTGATCTCTGCACCAGTGATTGGAAAAATTCAAATAATTTTTCTCTAGATTTACTAACAGTTTGTTCTTTATCATGCTACTAGCTTTGTGAAGTCTGAAAATCGAATAGAAAATTATTTAATTTTTTTCCAACCATGGAAGTAAATTTCAATTTTGAACAATTATCGTCTCAATCAATTCAAACTTGAGCTGCTGATGGAAATTTTAATTGGCAGAGCTTGATAATTATCATGATGAACCAATTAGTGCCTTCCAAAATACTTTACAATGTTTGTTCAAAAAGCACTTTCCATTCCGAACTATAAAGCAAAAACTTTAGAGAAGCCATGATACTATTAGCATAAGGGTATTAGAGTGGGAAAAAATATGAGTTTTTTTCCCACACGCCTTATTTTGGGAACTATACAGAAGAATATAACGACGTGTTGTTATAATGGCTTGAACAGAATCTCAAAAATACAAAATGAATCGAGAGATAGTTGGAAAATAGTTTGTAATTTGACAGGCAAGGGTTCACATGACCACTGTATTATTGCCAATTTTCTAACTTCAAATATTGCTTCCTATTTGGACCCTCTAAGGTATCTTCCTCGTACTTTTATTTGAATAAGAATGGAGTAGTGATAATAAGTTCAGGTTTCAACACTGCAAAGCAATATTTAAAATTTCCAATAACTTTCTTTTGCGTGCTGGCCCTGAATAACATTATTTGCTTGGCTCTGGTTTTGATTGATAGACGATGATACCAAGAAAAACAGGTTTCTCTCTCACTTGTGGTATGGTATGTATGGTATTAGGAATTGTTTTTGTTACTTTTTTGCTTCACTACAAGAAATATGTACACCTGAGAAGTGGAAGCAGGGAGCTCACTTTTGAACAGAATTAAATTGTCTAATTTGATTATTTTTGAACTTTTTTCTAATGACAATATTTCTTGACCTATCTGGCGGCAAATTGTGTCACTGTCAAAGAATCGTCAGACTTTTTTCCCCATCATTACACAAAAAGTGACATTCCAATTTGAACTATCCTCTGCCATGCTTCAAGTTTCCAATTGTACGTACCTCTATTTTTTTTTTCTTAAAACATTTTTCTTGTATTACTGATTTGTTATTTTTAACACAAAATGTATGTAAAATTTTAGTTTTTCTTGAAATTTTCATTAGACTCAGGGAATATAGATCCGGAAACATACCAATAAGGCGCTTTTAACAAATTACTACTAATTTTATTGTCAAACACTTTTCTGTTCAGATTCCAAATTATTTCAACCAACCAAAGTACGTTGATTGGTTTTGAAAACCTTGCTAAAAAAAAATACATATCTGTTCATATTTTCCAGAATAATACATAATAATATTATCCTGCATCATTTTTGCAACTATATACTCGGGTGAAATTTTCCAAGAATTTTCAGATTTTACAGTAATAATGGAATTTTGATTATAATCAGCACTCTATACGCTTCCTATTTATTCGTCAGTTTCAAATTGGCTTAATCATCAGGGTATCAAATTATTTCAGCATAATAGTTGATGCAGTTTATTTGAATTTGACCTGTGCAAATTCAATTATAATACTAAATGCTAAAAGTGCTAGGAAAAAATCCTAATTTTTCCACGTGCTATTAGAGTTTGATGAAGATTCCCGGAATGATTCAAACCAAACAAATGTCTCCGTTAGAAATTCCCAGGCGTGGCTTTATTGAGCTGATGAGTGCATGTGAAATACGAATACCTACTATTCGAGGCGAACCAATCTAAGGGCGAACCGATGGTTTTATTTCCAAGATTAACATAGATGAGTTTTAGATCAAATATCAAATTAAAACATCAAAAAAACACTCTCTGATGTACGCATGACAGATTTTTTACTGAAAGCGGACATTCAAATTAGTGTAGATTGAATTGAAATTTATCCGTAAGCTCATTTTGGCTGGAATTTGCTTCGTTCTCTATTCTTCTTATGAAATAATCTAGGTAATAATAAGAACTTATTCCAGTTAACAAAAATATAGCTGCAGTTCTCAGAAATAGAAATTAAATTGTTTTAGCTTTAGTTTCCAAATTAAAAGCCGAGCTTGGTTTCTCTCAGAATATTTCGTGAACAATAATAATAGGCACTTAATTATCAACTAGCCAACATTGAATTTGACAACAAAAAATTTGTTTTTTGAAATTTTTTGATGTATTTTAGCAATAACTATATTATCGAGCATTTAATGTGTAAAAACGTTACATTACTAGGACTGTTTTAATTTTAATGGTTCTTTTTTTGTTATAGGTAAGTCGTAGGACGAAAAAAATTTGTCGAGGAAGTTCACTCTTATCTTGGTAAGTTTGGATTAGTCAGTTAGATAGGTAATCAGTGTGATATCAACACCCTGCCAAAATTTCTCTGAATGGTTTGAGTTTATTGCAAAAAAAACATCATCATTACTATTCCAGTTATTTTGTGTCTTACTCAAGCTTCTGCTATTAATCATTGCGTAATACTATAAAAGTATAATTTTTAATAAATCACTTACTGCACACTCTATGGAACTGGATAGATGCCAGCCTAAGAGACAAGGGTCATTAAATCCACTCTGGGCGAGGACACAGTAGAAGCAAAAGTATGTAGGGGATGCCTACAGCGAGGCGTTCTGTACTGGGCGGTCCTAGTCGACGATCTTCTGACAAAAATCGCCAAAGAGAGATTCCACTGCCTTGGTTATGCGAACGACATAGTCATAGTAGTCAGAAGCAGACGCTTCGAATATGTTTCAGAAAGAACGCAAAACGCACTGAACATAGAAACCGTAATTGTCCCCTTCACAAGGAAAAAAGTACTAGGTGCCCTAGGCTTAAAAAAGTGGAAATCCCATTCTTGAAAGAGGTCAAATATCTAGGAGCCATCTTTGACCATAAAATGTCCTGGGGTCTATACCTCAACAAAGTCGTCCAGAAGGCGAAAATTGCAGGAGGCTCTGCGGAAAAAGTTGGGGGCTTAACCAAAAGATGAACCTACGGTTGTACAAAATGGTAATAAAGCCAATGATAACCTTCGATTTGGTTGCCTGGGGAGCAAAGGTCATGCAGACCGTAACAATCAAACAGCTTCAAAGTGTGCAAAGGCTAGGGTGTGTATGCATCACGGTGACCTTGAAAATGACCCCAACTGCAGACGTCGGGAAAGTTAGCAACACATTGGAAGCAAGATCTTTAGGTTACACCTGTACTTTTGCTATATTACTGCTTTGTCCTGATTGAAACTGCGACCCAGCAGCACCTACCGTATTCGAAATATATCGATCTCCATTGGAAGCAGGATCGCTAAAACATGTTCCTGCTTGTGCTGCTATGGTCCTGCCTCATCCTGCTTGGAATCACACCTCAGCAACATGTACTATGTTCAAGATATAGTGATTTTCAATTTGTTTGCTAACTTCACCCTTTGAAACACATTGAAGCAGGATCGCGGAAACACGTTTCTGCATGTGTTGCGCATGTTATTAAGTATTTCGATTTCTACGATTACTTGCAGAGGCATGGTGGCTCAGTTGGAATATGCTTGGTGTTTAGGGCAAATGGGCCCGGTTTTTTTATAAGGTTTTTTAAAGATTAATAGGAGGACGGGTTAGTTTCAATTCAATCCTTGGATTAGCTCTTTTCGTCTAAAATACCAACATTCAGAGACTAGCATTATTACGAGGACAGGTTAGTTTGGAATAGCTCTTCTTCTAAAATACCAACATACAAGGACAAGCACTTATTATGAGTACGGGTTAGTATGGGTTAGTTCGGATTAGCTCTTTTTATCTAAAATACCAACATACAAAGACTAGCATTCATTACGAGAACGAGTTAGTTTGGATTAGCTCTTTTCGTCTTAAGTACCATCATACAAAGACTAGCATTCATTACGAGGACGAGTTAATTTGGATTAGCTCTATTTGTCTAAAAAACCAACATATAAAGACTAGGTAGCGCTCATTACGATACATTTGACAACGGTGTCTTGAGCTCTGCCTATTCCTACGACAAGACTTGTAATGCTACCAGTGTGTATTTCAAAAATATAAGGTGTTGCCGGGGTGGGATTTAAAGCAGGATGTGGCAGAACCATAGCAGCACAAGCAGGAACATGTGTCAGCGATTCTGCTTCCAATATGTTGCCAAGGGTGAAGTTAGCAACCAAAATGGAAATCGATATATTTCGAAACCGGTGAGTTCTGCTGGGTTGCGGCTTTAAGCAGGACAAAGCAGTAATATAGCAGCACCAGCAGAGGTGGATCCTAAAGATCCTGCTTCCAATGCGTTTCTAGCTTCCCCGACATCAAAGTTGCCCTTGAGGTGCTGCTGAAACTGCCGCCGCTACATATATACATACAGGGTGAAGTAAATGCAGTACGTTGGTTGGTTGGTTTTAGGCGGGGTCGGGCGTGCTTGTGTCCCGACTTGCAGACAGTACGTTACAGACTCAAACTAGGCCAAGGTCCGATTATAAAACACCAAAGGACCATGAGTTGGAAAATGGAGGAGGATCAAGCGATCAAGAGGTTGCCCCTTTGTACGAGATAACTTCATATAAAACAACTCCTCTGTTCATCTTCAGCAGGCGTTTTCGGGTCGCCATGCCAGATAGGAAAGACTGGGCCATACCAGATGAGAAAGGCCCTGCAATTAAAGCAGGGGTACACCGAAGGCTCCAAAACCAACAAGAAGTTCGGAGTTGGCATCTACGGGGACAGGCCCAGGGTGAAGATATCCATAAGCCTCAAACAGTACGCCACGATGTTTCAGACGGAAATCGCTGCAATAATGCACTGTGCCATACTGATGAAGGAAAAAGAAGTACAGAGTTAAAATATCATCATTTACTCAGACAGTCAAGCGGCCCTGAAGGCAATCAGCTGCCAGAAGATCAGCTCCAAACTCGTCAGGGACTGCATACATGCCCTAGAGGTGGGCTTGTCCAACAAACTTACTGTAGCGTGGGTATCAGGCCATGAGTTCCACCTAGGCAATGAAGAGGCTGCCGAATTAGCTAAAGGAGTCTCAGCCACCGAGATGAGAGGCCCACAATCATTCTGCGGAATCTCAGCATACCTTTCTGAAACATCTATCAAGAATAGACAGAGAATTCCAGAGCTGGTTGCTGCAAACAACAGGACAACGACAGCAAAGAAGTTCGTTAAATCCTGCTCGCCCAAGTTCACATCAAACCTATTAAGCCACAGCCTTAACGTTGTAAGGATAATGCTTGGTCAATTAACAGGGCATTGCAGACTCAATAAGCACCTGGAAAGAACGAGCGTGACAGAACATAGCCTATGCAGGTTCTGCCAGGAGGCGGAAAAAACTGCCGTACATGTGTAGTGCCATTGCAAAGCGGTATGCAGGCTCAAATTCACAAACCTTGGTGAGGACAAGCCCAAACCGGCAAGCTATATGAAGTGGCCATTTTCACGAGTCTGGAGTCTTATCGGGAGGACGGGTCTGGACAACGCACTCTAAGGACAGACAGGAGATACCACAAAAAATTTGACAGTTGCAGTGGTAGAGGACGCCTCATCTACACTATCTCCATTGAATTAATCCAATCTACCTGATAAATGAGCGACTAAAAAAGTTGAAAAACTATTGGAAGCCTCCTTTTTATTTTGCTGTATACTTAGTTGTTGTGGTGACAAAAATGGTCACAAACCCCACATTTTGCAGATAACTTGATATTCACTAGCCTACTGTGACACTTCTGACACACGCCAAGGAGAATGGCACTACAATCATGGGACAAAAGTGTAACAGCCAGTGATCAATTTGGAAATATTGAGGGACAACAACAACAATTGAATTAGCTATCAAATTCGTGTCAGAACAAATTCGGTCTCAGGACGTATACCGAATTTGACTGACAGGGCAAAATACGTGTAGGTATACCAAAATAGGTGTCGCGGCAAAATACCTGTTAGGGAACAATACGTGTCAGGGTAAAATACATGTCGGAACAAAATATGTGTGAGACCAAAAAACGTTTCAGGACGAAATACGTGTTAGAACAAATATGTGTCAGGTCAAATACTTGTTAGGCCAAATACGCGCTATTCCGAGTATTCCGATTGTTATATTTTTGAAACAATAAAAATCGGTACAGTCCTACGTGATCCAAAATAAGAATCCGTTCTCAATTTTTCTCTAAAAGATTCCTAATGGTAGTTTTTGAAATTCGAGCATATAAAAATTGTAGCAATGCATGCCCGATAACACAGTTTCCGATAATAAATATTTCTGAGTTATTCGTCGTTGAATGAAAAGAGAAATAACGATTTTACAGACCTGAATTCCTTAAATTGGACATACTGTAGTTAGTGTATAATTGAGAGTTTTTAGCTGCTAAAGTTTGTCAGTTGTGTCCCACCTTTAGGGATATTATTATCTGTTAGCATGGACTCTCTTTTAATTCAATTACGGTACGGACTTTCTTTGGCCTCCTCTGCGTTTTCAATGGGTAAAACTAGTTTACGAGCTCAATGACCAAAAAATATGCATTCAGTGCAAAGCAACTGACCCAGTTCTTCAATCAAATTTTCGAGAACTTTTTTTTTCTCTCTGGGAAAGTTAACCTTATCTGAATAACGATAACCATAACTGACCAAAAATTTTCGCTAGCTAAAAACTCTATAATGAAATATCAAATCCAACCTGTAAATTTTGTCCGCAAACGTAACGTTTTGAACAATTGAACCCAACCAGCCAGCAGCGTCCCCTTTTTATAACGGGGTACACCGACCCTCCAACTCTAAATCCTACTAGTAGACTTGCGCCAGAACGCCAGAAGTGATTTACGGAAGGATTTCCGCTGAATGTGGCCTTCCAATCACTCACTTCAATGTCTTCTTTCTAATACACAAGATCATCGCGTGTCCTGTGCCTGCGGCACACCGGCAACTTGTTGCGTCACGGCCGTGCCGTCTGTGTGTCTATGCCCGATTTTGGGGAAAATAATACCCGTTAACTTCGTCGAGAACATGCTTCCGGGCTTATTATATTAACAAGTTTCGCTCAAGGTTCTTCGATGAGAAAGTTGTTTGAAAAAGTAAGAATTTTCCCAAGTTTTCGTATAAACAGGAGCCAGGAGTTTTTGGTAACGTTTGTTGATGTTGGCTTTTGTGCTTCGACTGTCCGTTTCAATGTAACTAACTGTATGTATTCTTCTGTATGTTTTAATCATTGTTCAAATTAAATACGAATATTTTGAGGAATTGGTTATTGGCAAAACAAGAAATTTATGATACATATTACATGATGAGGGGCCTTATTTCAAACCTTATTTTACTAATGACTGACACCAA